TTTATGCCAATTACATACTATTATAGAATGTTTATCACTTCAGTTTGTAAATTAATGTTGATAAAAATACTCCTCGTCGTAGTCGTAATCCTAGTCGTAGTTATAGCCATAGTCATAATTTACTGAAAGTCGTGACACAAGAAGTGGTCGTCCACTTTCCCGAGGCAGGGGCTTGTGATGAAAGTTCTTTCAGATTTGAGTGTTTTACTGAGGTATTAGAGTTCACTTGCTAGGTAAATATTTTGCGTGTGTAAACGCCAATTGACACCTTGGTGAACACCTGCCAAGAACGAGATGACAAAGTTATCCGCTTGAGGTCGCATAGTATTTCACATCCCGTAATGTCCAGATTGCGTCAGTCTCATTTGACCACGCGGCTCAGGACCACGTTTTCGATCTACGTGCGTGCGAGTAATGGAAAAAGACAAACACATTTATCCTTCTTTGCTAAGTCCGGACCAACCACTCGACGACCAGATATTCTGAAGTTCTCTTTCCACCATTCATCAACGAAATTTCCGTGTAACAGGGTTTCAAACGACAATTGATTTCTCGGGCATGACAACGCTCGCTACCGCACCTTCTCTTTCGAAGAGCAATTTGAAGCCTAATCAATTGCTTTCGCTTCGAGTTCTTGGGGTTCTGCAAACGTAAGTGCAGCTGAATTCTTGTGTCCTGAGTTTGCTGCTCAAGAGCAAGAAAATAAAACGAGAGGACTACAACAGCGACAGCTTCTCTTTCGAACGCGGAACATTTGTGCAGGGATTTTAGAATTTGCCGCCATGTCGGTTTGATGCGATCGTGATCATGATTGATGGCAGGCTTAGCTCGGTTATTTTAACCAGTATGAACACTGCACAATTTTACCAAGGTAAAGTAATGAAATGTCTACCTCGGTAAACGCTCAAGTCTAAACAAAGGGTAAGACCCGATAATTAATTTATCTTTCCAATTGGAAGTTGAAGACTTAGCAGCTAAAAGTAATTGGTTCCAGATGCGAGTTGTTTAGGAAGCAGTTGTTATAAGAATACTTACTATAGTAAGACAGTTTCCTCATCAGACATAGTGAGTTGACGGGGCTTTAAAAGGTTAGAAATGCCGCTGAGCCTCGTTTACAAATCTTTTGAAATACAATCAATGACTGTTAATAATAACAACAATAACAATAGGAATAGCGATAACGATAACGATAACTATAACGACAACGATAACGATAATAAGAACGATGACGATAACGACAACGATAACGATAACGACAACGACAACGACAACGATAACGATAACGATAACGATAATAAGAACGATGACGATAAAGACAACGATAACGCTAACGATAACGATAATGAGAACAATGACGATAACGATAACAAAACTATAACGATAACGATAATAAGAACGATAACGATAACGACAACGACAACGATAACGATAATGAGAACAATGACGATAACGATAACAAAACTACAATTATAACGATAACGATAAAAAGAACGATGACGATGACGGCAACGATTATAATAATAAAAACGATAACGTTAACGATAACAATTATATATTTAAGCAGGGAAAGCCGGCCAACATAAACAGTGCAATGGGCACCTTAAAATTGCAAACAAATAAACCTAACAATAGATTACAATATAACAAGGAAACGAGGCTGGTATAACATGAAAAAAAGAAAAAAAACTATATTTAGCAGCAAGTCAGTCTGAATCTTAATTACATAATTAAGTTCAAGCCATCTTTGCTCTAACCAGCGCATAGAGGCTAAATTAATTCAGGTTTGGATCATAGCTTACGTAGAGATGTTAATGTTTTTAAGTCTATAGTAGTTTGCATGATCGAGTTTACTATAAGTGGCTAACTAACTCATATTTATACGGACGTCAAATAAATTTACGGTGAGGCAGTACGTAGGCCTTAGTAAAATTTCCACTAGTATTAAGGCGACGTAGGGCTACAATCTTAAGTTTTCGTGAGCATTTCTCTGACATATTAGCTTTAAGATGACGCTTTTGCTCAGGGTACCTCAATCTTTATGGAGATGTAAGCAATTCTGAGTTCGTATTTGTAATTTGGTTTCCGAAGAATCATTGCTTTTGTTTAGCACCATTTATTTGTATAGAAAGTTCTCGTTCAACCAACCGGACAGGGCATGGATATCCTGATTGAAGAAGCACGGAAGCAATGGCGATCACAAATTCGAGGCTTACTGACTGAAATCGTCAGCGTTAATGCGCAGGGATATAATGAATTGATGACAGTATGATTGTTGTTATCTGTAAAGATTCTAATTTGTTAAGGGCTTTGCAGTCTTCAATGAGGCACTGCGCAGCGAAGAGCTCGCCAATCAGAATAGACATCGTTGCACTTCACCCTCTGTTTCGATCTCTTAGGCATGGTCTCGTCAATAATAGGGTCGAGTCTTGAAGGCAATATGCTATAGCGAAAGCAACCACATCTTTTTTTGATCATTCTGATCAAATGCCTCCCACCAATCACCAATCAATTGGATTCGTGTCGCGGCACGGGAATGGCCACAAAGGAATACTAGCATGCTATCCGATAATATGGAATGGTGGTTAAGACGCTGATTGGCGGGTAGTTTTTCTTGCTGGTCGCCCCTTCTTCTTTAAATTAATTCGCATTTGATTAGAGAGGTTTTCAACTGAGTGTCTTCAAGCCAAAACCAAAGCAATCACTCTGTTCAGTCACGAAGGGCACAGATAATCCAGCTAACCAATCAAAACTGGATGCAAATACATGTAGCTGAGGAGAGGCGAGAGAAAGTCACGATTTGTTTTAGTTCTCTTCTGATTTTATTGCAAATTAGCCAATCGCCTAATGTATTAAAGATGTAGTTAAATGCATGTACTGCTTAGCTTACAGACAGTATAGCCTAAACATCAAAAAGTAAATAATATTGTAATAAATATTAACAAAAGATGTATTAGATTTCTAAGTAAATAAAGATCAAACCTGTACTTAAAGGTAATCTTTGACTACGTCATTTGCTGCGTTTTTCCTTCCTTCCTTCCTTCCAAGTTTGCAACCGAATCTAGGAACAATTGCTTTGCGAATAGAGCTGAGTTATTTTGCAAAATGCGAATTCTTCGAATTGTGGATAGCAGAGCCATAAATACACGCTTTAAGTGAAGGCGATAAAAAAATTGAAAGGAAGCTTCAAAAATAGGTCCGCAGTGTGTACTTGTCTGGCCTTTCATGCATGATACTTGTGCAAGTTCAGTTTTTGTTGCGAAAACAAAATCCAGCCGTAGCACAACAACATGGGTAAAAACAAGACCTGGAATCGGTCATTGAGTTATTTTGTACTAGTGACAAACAAATAGAGAGTCACAGGAAGGATTTGGTGTTAACATGATGATATGAATGGTTAAATTAACCGGAGAAGATTTTAAACGAATCTGCTTTGGTAACCTTAATATATAGATTTAGGCCAGCCTAAAAGCGGAGCTCCTCAGTTATTTTTCGGAATGTTGTTACTAAT